GACCAGGCTGGCCTCGAACTCACAGAGATCCGCCTGCCTCTGCCTCCCGAGTGCTGGGATTAAAGGCGTGCGCCACCACCGCCCGGCTGAAATACAATGTTTATCAGTACCAAGATACAGTGTTTCACATCACTACAGAGATAACAGTGTTTTATATCACTACGGAAATAACAGTGTTCCACACCACTGCGGGAGGTACAGTGTTCCTTATCCGTACAATGTTTCACATCAGTGTGGAGATGCAGTGTTTCTGCATCAATACTGCTTAGTAGAGATTTGAAAAGCCATATTAAAAGACAGTGAGTTACCCAGATCTGATTGACTGTCTTCAAAATGTTCTCTTTCCCTGAATTTCCTCCACACTTTTTAAAATTTCCCTCATGTTTTCTTATGATGTTTTATATTATTATTATGTGTATTTTGCAAATCCCACGGCATGTTGCATAAAATGAGTTTTTAGTTTCAAAGCCCCTTCAGATTCTTCATTTGAAGGAATAAATAACAAATGAACACTGTGTTGTTAATAGAGAACAGTGAAAAATCCTCATTTGCTTTGTTGAATTCAAAGGCCTTCCAAGCTTTCTTCTCAGATAATGACATTATTCCTGAGTACTTGGGAATCCCTTTCAGCCTCAATAAGGAATCCTTTAGTGGTATTGTCAGCACCTATTGTCAGCACCTCGTTCTCCTAAATACTCAATCTGCTTATTTTAACCAGTTCACAGTACTGCCCTGGGGCTCCTAAAAATAATCTGTAAGAGGTATCCAAATTGGTTTGCTGTTAAGTGCTTTATTATGGCAACACAAAAATTTGTTTCAGATTTCATGAAATACAAAAATCATCATTTATGACCCTACTTTGCTTTCCATAACATTTCAAACTGTTAAGAAAACTGCTTTGACATTGGCAATTACTTTTAAAAGTAAAAATTAGCCTAGCGGTGGTGGCACATGCATTTAATCCTAACGCTCAGGAGACAGAGGCAGGCAGGTCTCTGAGTTCAAGGCAAGTTAGATGTACAGATTGAGTTCCAGGACAGCCAGGGCTACACAGAGAAACACAGCCTTGAAAAACCCCGAAAAATAAAAACTGAATTTCCCTGTGGTTATCCCTACTTATATAACATTGCCTCCTCTGCTGGAACCATAGTGTTAACAAGGGGTTGTGTGAATACAGCTCTAAGTGTTAGTTTTTCTGGATGAGTATTCATCTCTGATTACTCCCACCCACTTTGTAAATTCCTAGAATTAAGAATTTACTTAGGAATCAAAGGGTATGGACATTTTTAGTTATTCCTAATAAATATTGTCAAATCATTCTCCAGTAAAGTCTCTCTGTTCTAGAAATACATGGTAAACTCCTGGAAGCCCATTGTGACACTGTGCTGTCCTGATACCCAAGTATCGAGGGGCATTGCACTGTGGGCTTCTAGGAGAATTCAGGAAGTAGGAAGTGTCAAAAAAGGCTGCAGGGATATAGATTTAGAATACGGTAACTGGAGCCGGGCGGTGGTGGCGCACGCCTTTAATCCCAGCACTCAGGAGGCAGAGCCAGGCGGATCTCTGCGAGTTCGAGGCCAGCCTGGTCTCCAAAGCGAGTTCCAGGAAAGTTGCAAAACTACACCGAGAAACCCTGTCTCGAAAAACCAAAAAAAAAAAGAATATGGTAACTGATGCTGCTTACATCTATAAGGATGGCTTTGGCTTTTTAATGTTTTTATTTTCATTATGGGGGCATGTATGGAGTTGGCTCTCCCTTTCCACCTTTACCTGGGTTCCAAGAATGGAACTGGGGTCACTAAGCACCTTTATCTGCTTGAGCCTTTTCATTGGCTTTATAAAATTGTTTTAGTTGTTTTTATCAGAATAAACATTGTAAGCTATAAATAAATTAAACAAGAATTAAATTGACCAAGAAGTTAAAAAATAATAGAATTAACAATGTTCAGTTTTCTAGGTCACTAATAGAGCTTTTTGTATTTTGTTTTCTGGGCAGCATGAGTTTTATGCATTCTAACTATCAACCCTCACATAGCCAGTGAAATGATATTTACAAACTTGAAATGGATTGGTACAGAATCATTATACAAGAATGTGGTAATGATATAAATACAAAGTTGCAGAATTTAGAAATCTCCACTGACTTTGACTGGTCTTTAAAAAATGAATTAGCAGTAAATAAATTACAAACAATGGAAATGCACCTTAAAACAGGCTGAAAAGACAAACCTGATTGCAGCGCATGATCTCTTTTCAGGGTTGTTATTAAATAAGAAGACTAAGAATTTTATGCAACTGAAAATTTGAACTCTGAATATTGTATAATAACCATCTCCAATTTCTAAAATTCCCACTCTGTGTGTGTGTGTGTGTGTGTGTGTGTGTGTGTGTGTGTGTGTGTGTGTGTGTGTGTGTCTTCTGATAAATTTCTGCTTCGTAAATGATGTCTACTTCATTTAGAAACAGATTTTAGAAATTATGAGTGGGACTCTGCCTCTCAAGTCTATGTCTGTGTTAGCCTTCTGCTTTAAAAAAAGAAAAAGAAAAGTCAGTTGCCAACCAACACAGTAGTCTTTTCTGCCAGCCATGCTAGACCAGGCCTTTATCCTAGCACTTGGAGGCAGAAGCAAGTGGAACTCTGTATTTTCCAGGCCACCCAGAAAATTTCCATACATAGCAAGTCCCAGGCCAGCCAGGGCTACATAGTGAAACCCTTTCTCAAAACAAAACAAAAAATATAGTGTTTTCCATTTTGTTTCTAAACAGCAATGTCTGAGAATACAGAGAAATGTGCTTAGAACATTTTCACTTAGTTAATTTCGTCTACTTTTTTCAGTGAGGTTTACACACTGTGACAACTGTTCTTTACACGAAAAAGACTGATGCATTCTACTTGCTGTGGTCTGAGTGGCTGCAATCCAGTTTTTCTTTCTTTCTTTCTTTTCTTTCTTTTTTTTTTTTTTTTTTTTTTTTTTGAGACAGAGTCTCCCTGGCTGTCCTGGAACTCACTCTGTAGACCAGGCTGGCCTGGAACTCTTAAGTGCCGAGATTGAAGGTGTGCACCACCACACCCAGCCAGTCCAGTGTTCCATTCAGTAAAAGTTTGTCCTAGCTTAACTTCAGCTGTCTTTTAACACAGCCTGGAGTCTCCAGGAGCCTCAGTTGAGAGATTGGTCTGTGGCCATGTCTGTGAGGAACTGTCTGATTCACGTGGGAGGGCCAGGCTTACTGTGGATAGTACCGTCCATCTCGGGGCAGGTGGTCTTGGGCTATGTGATAACAGTGAACCTGTGAGCAAGCCAGCAAGCAGCACTCTCCATGGGTTCTGCCCTCCTCTTGATGAGTTAGGACCTGGAAGTGTAGGCCAGGCAAACCCTCTTTCCCACGTTGTGTTTGGTCAGTGTTTATCCCCGCAACAGGAAACTAGAACAGTGGACATTCCTTGTGTGAAGAGACTCGGTGTGAGTTAACTTTCCCCCCTTGGTCATTGAGACAGGGCTACCACTGTAGCCCAGGCTGGCCACTAACTCATGGTAGTCCTCCTGCCGTAGCCTACAGAGTGTTAGGATTACAGGGATGAGCCAACACACCTGCCTGCTTTTTTAAATTATTAGCTCAAGCTTTCATTTACACAAAGAACAACTCGGGAGAGTGTCGGGGTGACAGATCTCCATTGTTTTCATAAGTACTGTGGCTTCTGTCTTTGAAGACGTGTTTCCTTCCTCATTCTTGACAGCTGAAGACTTCCCTTAATCTATGACCGATTCTTTTCCTCGGATATAGAGACCATGGAAAACATGAGGAAGAATTCTTTGTGAGCTCTTTTCTTAAACACTTTTGCTAGGAGAGATTTTTCTCAAGTTATAACATACGTGTTGGCAAATATGTCTTCATTTGTAGCATGGCTATCAAATTCAGAATGAAATTTAATTACACCCTTCCTGAAAATCTCTTATGGTACAAGAAGATTCATCATAAAATACAGCTTAAATGCCCAAATTTCTACTTATTTCCAGAGTTAAAAGGAAACTCCTGATTTGTTACATACATTTTTCCATGTGGTTTTCTGCACTGTACGCCTCTCACTGTGCATTCACATTCAGAAAGCGGAGTGAGAGTTGGGTGTGAAGTGAGAAGGGAATAGACAGTCTTCAGCTTTAGAAAACTCTTACGAAGCCTTTGTAGGATTTCCTTGCCCCGAGGTTGTTTATCTTATTTATTATTATGTGTGTGTTTGAGTATTGAGCACGCCACAGCATGTGTAGAGGTCAGAAGACTAGAAGGCTCTCTTCTACAGAATTGTATTCTTCAATGGGAACTTTGAATGCTGAGGTTATTTACATCTGTAATATCTAACTATGCACATATACTTAGGATGTGTTTAATTGAAAGGTAAGCATGTTTAACTATATAGAGTGATGTGTCTGTATTGGGGCTGGAGAGATGGCTCAGCAGTTAAAAGCACTAACTGCTCTTCCAGAGGACCCATGCTCAATTCCCAGCACCCACATGGTGGCTCACAACTGTGTAACTCCCGTTTTAGGGGATCTGACACCCTCATACAGGCATAAAATACAAATAAATTATTTAAAAAACTATAGAGTGATCAAGTTGTCATTCCAGTATTTAACAAAACACTAATGTCTTCCACAGAATCTACCCGTTACTCGAATTTTAGACAATCTCATGGAGATGAAGTCGAATCCTGTAAGTAGCAATTACATTATATAAATTCTTGGATGTATCAAACCAACTGAAAGATGTTAATCCAGATTGACTCAGTTGTGCTCCTGATTACTACTGAGTATATGAGAGAAAAAGTCCATATTCTCAGTGGCATCTTTTAGCCATTATCATAGATACATAGAATTAGGTTTTTCTTGGCTGCTACAACCATTCTGACTAGGTCTCCTCTGAATTAAATATATACTAAATGTTACATGTTTTAATGTTAATACATCCTAAAGAACACATTTCTATAAGTGAAAAAGAACCAGTGACCATCAGTTTGTATAATGTAAAGAGAAACAGACCAATTTAAGGAAATTAAATTAGGAGAGAAATACATAGTAAAACTTCTGAATATTTCAGATGGCACTAAATTCCTTTGGGCCAAACAAGTAAATCAAAACCAATTGTTGGCTGAATACACAGTGGACAGTTAGCATTTGCCTGACAGAGTTGTCCGAACTGTCTGCCCATCGGCCGCTCACGGAGGTGGCTGTGACAGCCGTCGGCGTGGTTCAGCAGTGGCAGCCAAGGCGGTGGTTTTCACAGGAGTCCGTGCAGAGCGGCATCACATCGTCACAACTCCTCCGTGAGGCCACGCTGCGATAGACCTGGCAGTAAGGCGGAGGATTTCAGACCTGAAAAAAAAATGAAAACAGACTATTGAGACCAATGTGACTCCTTTAGTAATTGTTAAAACATGGTTATGGAAACTAGCAAAAACAATTTTTAAATTCACTCATGTGGAAACTAAAACCAGAAAATGTGCAGCTGCTATTATGAAAGTTTTGGAGAAATTATATGCTGTGATACAGGACTCTGTATAGAGGGAAGTGAAATACAGTGCAGTTGTAATTGACCGTCATAGTCTCCTGGACTAGGAGGCCCTTAAGAAGAGGTGTGCATTTATGACCAGTGGTCCTAGAAAATACTCCATTGCGGGCAGTGGACATCTGAAAGATGTCCCAAGCATACTAAAGGTCAGCATGCAAATGAATGCAAAAATCCAGATGACAAGGACATACAGGGTTAGGGCCACTTAGGGTGATTTGATGTTCTGTGTAGACCAGTAACTCTAATAGCAGGTGCATGTATGTATGTGCCAGGAACCACTCAGCGAACTTACCTTATAACATTTAATCCTCAGTTAAACCACCTAAGAAAAGTGCTATTTTTATTATTCTCATTTTATAGATAAGGAAAAGGAAACACGATGAGGTCAGTTTACCTCCTAGGGGTTACACAGCTGATAAATAGCAATTTGGGGGTTTCCTGAGGGCAGAAATTCTACTCTTATGCTGTGTTGGTTAGAGTGGGAACCATGTGCTTTCACAGACTCACAGAACTACAGAAGTCATTGCAGGTCATTTAACAGCAGAAGAAAGGTGACCAGGAGCCGGGTGGCTGCTTCATGCTGCAGAGTTGAATCCAGTCCTGCTCCTTCTGCTCCTCCAGCTGCTCCTGCTGGCAGCCTCTCCTCCCACGTGCTGTATAATAAGCACATGGATAGCTAAATTTGAGTGACTCTCAGTCAGATGTTTCTCTGAGCCGTGCAAGTTCGTTTATCGATACTATTGAGTTTATAATTTAAAGCTTTATAATTACAGACCAGTCTTTTATTAATTAGAGGGTTTGTTTTTTTTTTTCTGTTTTGAAAGCATTTCATCATCGATGCATCTGCTCTGTAAGGTAGCAGTCTGCACTCCTATTCCTTCTTGTTCCTAGATGAACAAGGTGATTTGGAGACACTGAGGAAATAAGCAAAATTAGTAAGTTAGACCTGGCAGGTAATAGTGAATGAATGACTGTAGCATCTCACCTCAGATGCTTTAAAAGACTAGAGCCCGGACTGGGCATGTAGCTCAGCTGGCAGAGTGCTTGCCTAGCATGGACAGGCCCTGGGTTGATCTCCAGGACCACGTGAACCTACATAGTGACAGGTGCCTGTGCTGCCAGCACTCGGAAGGTAGGAGCAGGCAGATTTCTGGTTTGAGGCCATCTTTGCAAACACAGCTGGGGGCCAGGCTGTACTGTGTAAGACGCCCTCCCTTCTACATTTTATTTTGTATGTGCACACACGTGCAATGGCACATATATATTGTGGAGGCTCTCTCCTCCCATCAGGTGCGTCCTGGGGATCAAATGCAGGTCATCAAGCTTAGCAGCAAGTGTGACTTGCTGGTCCCTTATTAAGTGTTGTCCTTTGTGTTAATTAAGGTATGATCTCAGAGAGGCTTTGTCTTGTCTAGAAAGTCCAGCTGGGAGGGGTTTCTCAGGGAAGTGTTGGAGGATTCTGGCTACACTGGGGTGCTGTGTTGATTTAGAGTACTGACCACCAGCTACAGGACTGAGTATTGGAGGATTCTGGCTACACTGGGGTGCTGTGTTGATTTAGAGTACTGACCACCAGGTACAGGACTGAGTATTGGAGGATT